AAATGTCACCTCACTTTTTTGTGAAGAAAATCAATTAGACGTATTCTGTGGTTGTGAACATTGGCTAGGAAACAGTGAGATAGAAGCTTTCAGCAAACTGAACTCATTGCAACTTGTAGCAAGTTATTGTCGTGACCTGCACAAGAATGGCGGTGTCTCTATATTTGTGAAACAGGACTTGCGCACTAGGTCTAGGCCTATCAATCTTGTGCAGTACTGCAGTGAGCTCGATATTGAGATAGTTGGTATTGAGCTGATGGACTTCTCCCTCATCGTCCTCAGCATATATCGCTCGCCCGATGGACAGGTTCAACAGTTCTTCGATCTGCTCGACCAGTGTCTAGACTACCTTGCTGGTTTCAAGAAAAACATTATCTTGGGCGGAGACTTTAACATAACCCTCAATGCCAATAATGCAGTGGCCAGTGACTTCGCAGATCTACTACGCTCTCATGGACTGTTCATCACGAGTCTTCTGCCTACGCGTGGACCTCGCTGCCTTGATACAGTGGCCACACATCTTAACTCATGGGATTACCAGGTTTGGACAACTGAACCGTATGTGGCGGACCATCAAGCGGTTCTCATGAAAGCCAACTCCAGTATGGTGAGTCCTTCTTTAACAGTTCCTGCATGGCTAAATCTTTATACTAGATATTATAGGCTATTAGATGACGATCTTATTCCTAGTTTTAAACATGCTCTTTCACAGGTTCCCTGGGATGATGTGCTATACCATAAGCAAGCCGAATTGGCTTTTGAGGCATACATGTCAGTTTTTAATACTTTTTTTCCTGTAAAAGTCAGCAAAAAGGCTAACCCTCAAACAAAAAAAAAACCGCCCAGGCCTAAGGACAAAACTTGGTTTACTGCTGAGCTGAAGCAGATTCAAATGTTTGTGCTAGCATTCAGGGATAGATACATGGCGCCGGAGACTCCCGCCAATAGGGACCATTTCTCCCTCACAAGATTATACTCTTTACACCAGAGCCAAAAGGTTGTATAGCTGTCCAATCTGCAACACGGCTTCCGTAAAGACAGATCAACTGTCACTGCCGTCTCTGAGCTCATACATCGCGTTCAACAAGCCTTTGAGGACACCAACACTGTTGCCTTGACATTATGTGACTTGAGCAAGGCATTCGATTGCGTCTCACATGACATTCTCCTTGCCAAATTAAATAAATATGGGGTGCGCGGTGCAGTTTACGACACCTTTGTGACATATTTGGAGAACCGACAGCAGGTCGTCTCAATAGCCGGAGCTAAGTCCCGAGCTCTCAATGTTCCTCACGGGGTGCCTCAGGGATCGGTTGTGGGACCTGTCCTCTTTCTGATAGCCATAAACGACCTTGAACTAGGTGGCAATGCACTCAGGTTTGCTGATGACACTACCCTAATTTCTGTTGGTGACAATCCAGGAACAGCTTCAGAAAGAGCTGAAGTGATGTTTAGGGCAGCAAAAGATTGGTTTGAGACAAACAAATTAAAACTCAACCAAGACAAGACACAAAAAATCCTGTGTTCACTTCAGTCAAACTTGGCTCAGGACGTTGATAGGGTAAATCTACTGGGCTTTACGATAGACCCAAAGCTGAGTTGGAAAGATCATGTGGATAACGTGGCAAAGAAATTATCAAGAGTAACACATCTTCTCAGGAAACTAACAAGACTAGTTAATAAAGCTTACCTAGTTGTGGTTTACCACGCGTTATTCTATAGTCACGTCACTTACGGTCTTCAGCTATGGGGTCATGCATCCAATGTCTCCAGAAAAAAACTGCAGAAGAAAGCTCTGAGAATCATGACTGGCAGTGGGCGACAGGAGAATTGCAAGCCTATTTTTGTTGACTTGGGCATACTTACCATACACAGCAACTACATCCTTCAATGTGTCAGCTACGTACACTCCAATGTGCATACCTTCACCACCAGGCAGCAGGTGCATGCGCACAACACCAGGCGCAAAGACCACATTGATGTGTCCTATTGCAGGCTCAGTAGGACAAAGGATGCTTTCCCGGCCATGGCCCTCAGACTGACCAATAAGTTGCCGGTTGCAGTTAGGGATTTAAACAAAAATCAGTTTCAAGCCAGGTTAAAGTGTTGGCTAAAAGCTAGGCCATATTACTCGCTTAAGGAGTTCTTTGAGGACGACCTCACGGGACTTTAAATCCACCGCCATTAAGTTCATTAATTTGACTAAATGGAAGTCTGTAAATATTAGTTTTTATTCTCATAATTGCAAATAGTTGACGCAGCCTAACCAGCCTATGCTGGTATCAAGCCAAGGAGGAGGTAATAAGGTAATAAGAAACAGAATTTATAAAAATAAATTTATTTACTTAACAGAAAACTTATATCAAAAACTACATATTGTATTACAAGTTAAAAACATCAATGAGGTATTTAAAAAAAAGTAATCACTTGGATAAGCACTTCATCCGTCTGAAGTTTGAAGGTTATGGGTACTAGGGCTATCCTCTTCACTCAGTACATTTATAAAAATGATCAAGTCACTCGTCTCTGACAGACTGAAAATATCAAATAAAAACATAGTAGGCCTATTATCTCGAAATAAAATCCCACATTAAACACTTAATTTAAAATTAAAACACATTTCACTGTAGCCTGGTATAAGTTAGCCTATTTGGCCTTTCTTTATAAACTCACATTTTCTAGGTTAAGTTACAATTCAAACTGTAGTTGTCATGTTTCTGCCACCAGATTGAAAATTGCACAATCAAAATCACAAACAGAATATGTTTATTTTACTTTCTACTAAACTTCCACTAACAAAATCAATTTTATTTTAAGTTACAAATTCACTTCAAAGTAAAAACATTCAAAACTGACGTTGACATAACTTCACTCCAATCCATTGTTTTGTTTTGTTCTTGTTGTTGCTATGCGTCACCATCTTTATCTCTCTCTCTCTCTCTCTCTCTCTAGTCGGTCTGCTCCTGCTGTCTGCTTTCCCATCAAACAGCTGTTTTGCAGGGCTGACGTTGCCATATTTATCATTACACCATTATGGTGAATGTCGGCAAAATTATCATAAAATTGTTATAGCTTTTATTTTGTAAAAAAAGATAATAGTTTGACTAATTTAAATCATGTTTATGTAAACTCATTAGAAAATTATGCTTATAGTTTGTTTACGCCAATACCACAGTTGTAAAAGTACAAAAATTATCGTCCATCTGGCAACACTGAGTTTAAAGTGGAACTGATCTTTTCTTTCTGCCATTTGCCTAGACCCAATGAGATTGCGTCATTCAGATGCATCGATGTTCCTTGCAGTAACTTTTCGGTTTGTAAAACTAAACACCAATACCGATTAATTTTAAAAAATATTATGCTACAGTAGGTTATTTTTATTTGTTGTATTTCTATATTTTGGTATAAAATATTTTGTTATTTCTATATTTTGGTATAAAATATTTTGGTATAAAATATTTTTATGGCAGTTCAAACTAAATCTGATATTGTACTTTATAATATCTTCAAGAATCGTCTGCCATTGTTAGGCCTACTAGTCACGAGACTCCCTTGTTGACTATCGACTATTGCAATTCGATAGATTCATTCAATGCTTTATTTCAACTTACTGTATCGTTATCGAGACGTATTGTTGACTGTTGTAGGAAAGTGAAAGTCTGTTGTTAGTAGTAGTAGTCCTCTTGCTAGCTCTGCCGAATGAGGATGGGTGTTTGTTAAACATTTGGTTTACGCTGGTCTAACCTATATGAGGTTAGATAGTTGTTTTTTGTAGGAATGGGGATTAAAAAAGGCATCAACACAAAACAAAATATAATTTATTAAATATGGATGTAGAAAATCGTGAATTGGCACTATTTATAACTACTCGACTCGAAATTTTCGAGTAGTAATTACTACTCGACTCGAGGTCGAGTATTTGAAAAAACTCTAGTAATTACTCGAAGGTCGAGTACTCGCCCACCCCTTTATTGCATGAAACCGAGTTTCAGATGTTAATCCTATGTTGCTCTATACATATTTATAAGGTGTAGTACTTAAAGACAACTAGTAGTACTTAAAGACAACTGATTAAATAATTATAAATCGTAAGTGAAAATAAAATTAGATCTTAAAAGAATTTAATATAAAGAATTACGGTTCTTCACTCATTGGGATCTAAAACAACAATCTTACAAAACTACATTTTTGCAATGGTACAATGCAGAAACTTACACCATAGTCTACTAATTAGCCACCATTGATATACCAAGATAAAATTGTATCCATCTTCAATAATTGTTCATCTTTTGTTGTTGTCAACGGTAACGGGTTCTGCAAAGGCCGTTGCCAACATCAAAACCTGAATCCCCTGCGATTCCCTGTTCAACTAGCCGCGCTGCAACTTAGGCGCGACTATACTTGATCTACGACCATTTCAACTTAGGCACGAGCTCCCAAGCCTGGTTTCTGGTCCGGGGACTAAAGTTAGGCGCGTCTAACACTAGGCGCGTACTAGCTGGGCTCGAGCTCCCAAACCGCCTCTTAGTATGTTAGACCTACATAACTTAAATGTTTTCTAATGAACTTTTTACAAATTAGTTTCCTAGACATTTTCTTATTGATAGTAGTGCACCTAGATATTGATTTTAACGTTTAATTTTCCTGTATACTATTACTATACATTTAAAAAACAAATCCATAAAACAATGAATGACGTGCTGTAACATTTTGTTTGACACCACACAGTGAAAATAACACACAATTTTAAGAAGTAAAATATCAGTTTGAGTCATTTGTAAAATTAGATTGTTAAGTTTTATTTTTACAAACTATATCCTTTAAATATGAGACATATAAATGATTTTTAATTCGGCAGAATTATTTTAAAGCATAATTTACAACAAACCACCTCAAACCTAATGTCCACAAGTAAATAAACTGTAGAATCCATTGACTATACCTAATAAAAATAATAATTATTAGAACATGTGTAGTTACACAATGAAATAGTGAATTACCTCATCAGCTAACAGTTTTTCTTCATCTTCTCCAATGGTCAAGTTGATCGAGTCTTCATTGTCGTTGATGCCATTAGCTTCAGTTGTAGATTTTTCCTAAAAAAAAAAATAATGTATTTAATAGGGATGGGCGAAATTGGATCTTTATTTAGAAGGAGACAAGACGAGACAGGATTTTTTATTTCTCATAAAATTTCGAGACGGGATTTCCTTTCACATACATAACGGGAAATGCACGTTCCACATTTTAACCAGTTTTTTAACATTTTTAAATACCTACTGATTTATGACAGACTGGTTAAATACAAAAATAATTTATAAATGAAAAAACTTTTTAAAACAAAACGTTTTAAACGCATTAAAAAGTATATAATAATTTATAAATATGTGGAGAGTGTAAATACTATTAAGATTTAAAACGAAAAACGTGGGATGCATGCAATTGATAATAACTAGGTGAAACCTGTCGAAATCGACGGTTACTTTCAAGGCTTACGTTAATTCATCTCACTGCGATAAATTGGGTGAAGTATACATATTTTGTGCATTTAGCATTGTTTTAAGAGTAATAAGTGTAAAAACAATAATGATAGGAATTTCGTTAGTTGCCAAATTTGGTTGATCATTCAATGATTAAAATATTTCCTATACTGTACGTCATCAAAGTTATTATTAGTATGTTATATGTTTTTTTGTTTTAAATCTTAAAAGTATTTATACTCTATACATATTTATAAATTATTTTATTATATACTTTTAGTGCGTTTATTTATAAATTATTTTCTACTTTTTAGTTTTTAATGTGTGTGGATGTTAAATCTATTTCAAGAATCTATATCAGATTAAGAAAGAGGCATGTGGGAAATCTAAGGTTTATTTGAGTTTCTTTTCATATAATTATGTATTAGATTGAATGTATGGCCTACCTACTAACTATAAATAGCCTATATCAATCTATTTGATTTATTGTTTACTTTATAGAATACTGAATAAATAACAATTGACATTATTAACACCTTTATATCTGCAATCAGATTGTTTATCTTTATTTTGAAATGTTTGTTTGTATAAAGAATCTCTTGGGAGCATAACCTGTACCTCTTAATCTCTGCTCTTCGAACTGTCAAATTTAAGTATTTACAGCTGACTTAAATCAATTGATATATTTACATCAAATGTAAACACGGAAAATTTGGAAACCCATGGGGCGTAGCCCAAGGGAAATATTAAAATTAAATTATATAATATTGCATTGTCATCCATTTGTGAGCTATGTTTCAAATTTCAAGTATCTAGCTCATCGGGAACTTCGCTTAAAATTGATAACAAAATTTGTAGGAAAGCGAGCTGATAAAAACAAGCCCATGGGGCGTAGCCCAAGGGGAATATGAAAATTAAATGATATAATATTGCATTGTCATCCATTTGTGAGCTATTTTTTTTTTACATTTTATTGTTGTCATGAGAGCCGAAGCCCCCTGACTGCATACCCGGTACCTATCCTTTAGGACATACCCGGGCCCCATGATGTAGGCCGAAGCTTACGCATCAACCTTTAGCACATCATGGGCGGATGACTTAAGGTCATCAGGCTCGCCGGCTGCCGAAGCAGACCCTTCGGAAGGAGGGTTGCCCCTCAATCCTAACCAGGGATTCCGGCTGCTTGTTTAAGCGTCACTCCACCTGGGTTCCACTAGGTCGGGACCTAGAGGTCCATGGTAGAGCGCCCCGACGCATTTAGTGCAAGCAACACTCGGGACCTATCTAATCCCTGACAGGCAGAACCCGCCATCAATAGCCAGGAGGAAGGGGACCATCAGCACGCTGACGGGGGGAACCCCAACCTCCCATTTACACCGCTGCCCGATCGAGGCCTTACCCATTGCTGGGAAACCAGAGATAACCAGAGCGATAGATCCCCAGATACCCCTGGCAGGCTCGGACCCAGCACCCGATCTACTTCGTTTGCCCGTCAGACCCAACATCACTGCCAGGCCATCAGGGTTTCCCAAAAGGAGGCAGGTATAGAAGTGGGACCCACCCGGATGAACCTATCCACCAGAGGTGGCGACACCCTTGACTCAATTGAGGTTCCGGGAAGAACCCCCCACACTCAAGATAACCATACCGTCCGTGCTCAGAGACAGGGATTGGTTTGCATAAGTACCTACAAACCGTTGCCCTCACACTGCGGAAAGTTACGTTGCCCTTGAGTGTCCCCGTGAGCTGCGGGTACTTGCCCGTTTTCACCTCCAGGAAAGGTTACTTCCAAAGTCGAGGATTTGCCCACTGAATGCTGGTCGCACACAACAAGCAGGCCGAAGCCCAAAGTACCACAGACACAGGTAGGTTAGAGATTTGTGAGCTATGTTTTAAGTTTCAAGTCTCTAGCTCATCGGGAAGTATCAAAATTGGCAAGAACGCAAGTTAATAAAAACAAGCCCATAGGGCGTAGCCCATAGGGCGTAGCCCAAGGGAAATATGAAAATTAAATTAAATAATATTGCAATGTCTTCTATTTGTGAGCTATGTTTCAAGTTTCAAGTCTCTAGCTTATCGGGGAGTTAGTATAAAATTGATTGCAAAATTTGTACCAGACAAGAAATACGAGCTAATAAAAACGTTTTAAAATAATAATAATAGACAACAATATTTAAAATCTTTTGTTAAAAAACATTAATAAAAACATCAGTATAAAAAACAAATTAATATTATTTGGGCCTAACTTATTAAAAATAACTCTTTAGCATAGGTAGGAAACATGGAGATATATCAGTTAGTATGTAGTTGAACTTTGAAAAATACAAAATTTATAAGTCTAGTTAAGTATCAAGTAAAAATTTTTCAGTCTTATTATTAGTGTTATTTTTAGAATGATTTTGGAGTGACTTATTTTGGCTATGTTACAGTAGTAAAACATGTCTAACACTGCTTACACTAACAAAACTTCTCATCATTTGCTTTGTCAAAACAAAATACCCCCACCGCAGCAAACCTGCAGACTAAGCGAATTTCAACTTGTCTGATTACATTTTTACTAAAATATTTCCATAAATAAGACATATTTATTCCCAATTTAAATAACATTAGATTTAATGAGTGCTTAGGTTTGCTGATACGGGGAAGGTAAAAAGTGTTTTTTAACCATACGTCGATAGTATAAGATGAAATAAATAAATTTGCCAAATTTTATACACATATATCCACAAACAAGTAAACTACAACAGTTTTAATCTTCTCCATAACAATAACATGGGAATTTTAAAATACACTTATTTTTGAATTTTCTCTGTGACCGTTAGGCATACAACAGCGCTCCAATATACTAAATTATTTTTTTTTTAAGCTTTACAAAACGGTTTAAAAAGAAATTGCAATTTTTTTGTTCTTAGGGTGAAAAATGTCATCTCCAACGGTCACAGAAACGTCATCGTCGTCTCCCGCGGTCACAGAAACGTCATCGACATCACCCGCGGTCATGGAAACGTCATTGCCTTCACCCACAATCACGGAAACATCATCATCGTCTCCCGCAGTCACGGAAACGTCATCGTCTGCTCCCGCGGTCACGGAAAACATCATCGTCGCCTCCCGCGGTAACAGAAACATCACCGTCGCCTCCTGCGGTCACGGAATTGTCATCGCCGTCTCCCGCGGTCACAAAAACGTTATCGTCGTCTCCCGCGGTCACAGAAACGTCATCTTCATCACCCGCGGTCATGGAAACGTCATCATCGTCTGCTCCCGCGGTCAAGGAAACGTCATCTTCATGCGCGAGAGCGGCAAATTTAAAATTCCCGGTAAAATAAAAAATTCACGTGTAATTCCCGGTATTCCCGGATTTCCCGGTCAGTGGACACCTTGTTATAGTACGGAAAGCCTTTACTTTGGTGCACAGTTTTTTACTTTGGCGAACACCAGTATTCCAACCAAACAACACAATTACGACTGGGACAGTGGCGTTGTCCTATAATCCAGCTACTAGGAGGTCATGAATCGTGGATATTTATAGGCATGCACTGTGGATGCGATGTTCCCCGGTGTGGATTAACGTCCGCAATAGTGAGTACCACGACTGCAGTACTATCCTGATAATTAGACCAATTTGTTAATTACAAGTAAAAATGTGGTTCGGATTTCACTGTAAACTGTAGGTCCTTTAATTGTCATTGGCTGTATAAAAGACTATACGCTGACTACAGGATTCTCGCCACTCATCCTTAACTCATATTTGGGTTAACATACACAAATAGTGGCGTCCCCATCTTAAATAATTTATATAATTGATAATTTACTATCATCAGCTGGTACAGTGTTTTTCACTCTACGCTGTAAATAAAAAATGATTGGAATTTCTTCCATTTGTTTTGATTTTCTGTTTATATTTCATTATTGTTTCGTCACCAGCATGGCAACTCATAAGACCCATGGTAATTTTTTTTAATTTTGAATTCATTGTTTGTGCTTATTTTGAGCCTATTTTAATTTATAAAGGAATTCTGCACATCTACAGGAAAATATCTTTTTAACAGTATGCGTACATTTTCCTTGCGATACACATTAGCTGAGAAAAAAGGTTTTCAAGAAACATGCTTGCCTATTAATATAGAAAAAACAAGTAAACTCAGCTTACACAATGTGACTGTTTTACACTCACAGTAAACTCCCTCTTATCCGGACTCCTTGGGACCGAGGCCAGTCCGGATAACGGTTTTTCCGGTTAAACCGACGTCTCCAAAATCTCGTTAAAACGTACCGTTTAAATGCACACTCTATACACAGTATTTGACTTAAAATTAGGAGAACATTGTATTTAGACACGTAATTACTGGTCTCAAAACTTTCCCACGAGAACAGTCGTTTCAGTACCGCCCACTTCCTGCCGATATAGTCCGGTTAAACCGATGTGCTGATAAAAATTATCCGGATAAAGAGATGTCAACTTCTACCAAGTGTAGTCTGGTTAAACGGATGTCCGGTTAAAAGGTGTCCGAATAACAGGGAGTCTACTGTACCGTTGCAACCCAGTTGTGTCTAAAACCAGTTCACAACAGAAACAAAACTTCTGTCCGCACATGGATGGGTGTACTGGCAAAGGGCTTGTTTTGCGTCTATTGTGCAATCAGTGGAGTGTTAATTTAGTACAGAACGTGTTGTTTAAAGCGAATTTCCCATATAGGGAATATTAGCGAATTTCCCATATAGGGAATAAGCTATTACCGTAGTACTCATGGTAAGACCTGGACGCGGGACCAATTTTTATTTTAGTTTTGAGGTCCCTAGAGGCCAAAAACACCATTCGTTCAAATTCATAAATATATATATATATATATATATATATATATGTAGCAAAAATGATCTGATTTTGATGAAATTTGGTGTAAACCTACATTTATTCGAACGAGTTCGCCAACCAGCATGATCGGAATATGGGAACGGGGGTTTACAGGGAATGGGTTTACAGGGGGTTTTATGGGGTAAAAATAGGTTTTTCCCATTTTTGACCCAAAAAACATAAAATTTAGCAATTTATTTCCAAACCATTTTGTAGAGCTTAAAAAAAAAAACAAATAATTTAGTATATTGAAGCGTTGTTATGCGCCAAATGGTTACAGAGAAAATATATTTAAAATTCTATTTAATTCTATTTTAATAGGAAATAAATATTATATTTTTTAAGTGGACATTTTAGGGTAAATCCAATCAGGCAAATGGAAATTCCCTTAGTCTGTAGTTTGCTGCGGTGGGGGTATTTAAGGCTTTAGCTTAGCCGTGCGCATTTACAGGGTGTCCACCAGGCCAACCAGAAAAAATGCATGAGTAATTCATGAGTTAAAAAAAATCCAGGTAGTTCAGTTCGTACTTTTCATACTAAAATATCCGTGTTTTGCGCCGATTCTCGCAATGCTGTTTTAGCGCTAACACAGCTTGCTATTTTAGTTATCCGAAAGAGCATTCTCAGTTAAAGAAACAAAATTTATGATTACTGTAATATTGCCTGGCACAAGTATTCAATTTTTATATATTACTGATTAAATAATCCGAAAATTAAAAACCAATCCTTAAACCTGCAATTTATCAATAACTTCTTAAAAATAGTGATATGTTGATGACAAAATTTTTTGAATCTCTGTACAACAGACACATAAATACCACGTTAGAGGTAAATGAAGATATTACAAAACATAAAAATAAAACTTTCTAGAGGTGGGCCATTTTGAAAATGAAGCCAAACTTGAGGTTTATATCATGATCATCTAACACTGTCATAGAGACACCATCATCGTTTTCTGCGATAACTGAAAAATCCTGAATATCTCACTCAGTAACAGAAACATCACCACTGTCTTTCGTGGTCGTGACCAAATTCTGATATTTTTCAGCTGTAACAGAAACATTATAATCCTATTCCGCGGTCACAGAAACATCATCGTCGTCTCCGCAGTCAAGGAAACGTCATTGTCGTCTCCCGCTGTCACGGAAACGTCATCGTCGTCACCCGCAGTCACGAAAACGTCATCGTCGTCTCCCACAGTGAGTACAAGAGAGCATTAGGTTTACCCTTATTTGAGCAAGAATGTGAATTCTAGGCTATCTGTAGCTGCTAGAAGCACTGTCACAGTTGGATACAAACAATACGGCTGTAAAAATACTACCAAAACACCACATGGTCTTGTGCAACTGAAGTCTGCAACGCAACTGCAACTGAGGGCCCACGGTTGTATGTGACTGGTTTCAGACTGGTTTGGGATTGTCGAAAACCAATCGCGTCGTGTGCGCCTCCTCACTCACATTGCCGAGGTCACAAAACAGTTGTGTGCGCAACTGGTTTGCAAGGGTAGTAGTAAAACAGTCACACCGTGTGAGCTGGACCTAAAGAGATACTTAACCCTTACCTCTTTGGAAGGAGTTGTGCTTGATTCCTTGGTTTGGGAAGTTAATTCTATTTCCTTGGTTTGATTGTCTTCAGTTAATGTGGCAGCGGTCTCTACATCTTCTGTTTTACAGGAAGTAACAGAAATTGTATTTTCTACAGAGGTTTCTTTCTGATCCTCTTTCACATCCGGCAGGGGTTCAACACCAGATGAAACTGATTCATCTAAATTGCTTTCATTCGCCAATTTTACTTCTTTAATTTTAATATCCGGTTCATTATTTGTTTCTAGGATCTCAGTTTTACTAATCGATTCTTTTGAAATCTGATGAGTTCCTTCTTCCAAGTTTACATTTTCCTTTTCAACTTCTGAAACCGGTAAATCAGATGATTTTTCTTCTTCTTCGTTGTTTTCTATTTTATTTGTTTCTGTAACTTCCTCTTCTTCCGCTTTGTCATCTTCGCTAGTTTCTTCTTCGCTCTTTCCTAAATCCAACAAAGGTCAGGTATTAAGGCAAATTACAAAAAAAGTCTGATATTATTTCAGGTTTTTTAATGGTAGACAAAATTGACACAGCTTACCAGTATTCATAGTATCTAGAGGTGAGCGTTATTTTAATGTAATAGGGTAAATCACTCAACAGTTTATAACTAGCACTTGACACAATTTAATAATCAGTCCTTTAGAAACAAACCTTTGTTTGGGATTGTGCCATTTTGACACTATTTAGTAACATTAAATCAATCAATCAATCAATCAATTATGGAGAAAGTACAAATACCCCTGCCGCAGTAAACCTGCAGACTAAGTGAATTTCCATTTGCCCGATTTGATTTTCAATTTAATCTGTTACAATAACATTAGGTTTAACGAGTACCTAGGTCTGCTGCTACAGGGTGGGTAATAAACTGTGTTTTTTTTTGTAAAATATTAATAGCTTAGTATAAAACAAATACATTTGCAAAGTTTGATCAAAATATATCCATAAAGAAGCAAAGTACGACAGTTTACTTATTATTAGTCATCAGGATTTTAAATTTAAATTTTTTGTTATTTTTGTTTATCACCAATTCAAAAACACTTCAATATACTAAATTGTTTGTTTTTTTAGCTCTTCAAAATTATTTATTTAGAGATAAATTGTAAAATTTTCTGTTTTTTTGTTAAAAAATTAGAAACCCCTATTTTTGACCCCATTAATCAATCCCCCATAAAACTCCGTTCCCATGGTCCGATCATGCTGGTTCGCGAACTCGGTCGGTCAAACAAACATAGCCTACAGTATGTTTACATGTTTGAAAAAAATTTCATTGAAATTAGGCTAGATAATTTTTGTTTGAGTTATCGTGCTAATGGACACAATGTGACGTATATTAATTGTTCTTGAGGATTTCTTGACAGAATTTACGAAAAATTAAACATGAAACAGTATAAATTTTTGTTTAATTCAAACGTTTTCAAGCAGAGAGAAATGAATCTAGGCTATATAAATAAGAGTTTGTCTGTACAATGCTTAGAATATTTTTTGGTTGTTTTTACGTTTTTTACATTAAAGAAGCCAAAACAAGTCTTATCTAAATTTCTGTCTGTCAGTCACGGCCCAGAAGGCATTTTACACGGCCTTCTCCTGAAAAACAAGAGTACCTTTCAAGATTCAAATTATTCTAGCAAATTTCCCTATAGGGAAGTAGCTATTACCGTGGGTAGCATGGTAAGACCTAGGCCCGGGACCGATTTACTTTTTCATTTTGATTTTCCCAAAGTCCATATATATATGTATGTGTGTCCGTGAACAAGATAACTTGAGTAATTTTTGTCCGATTTTGATGAAATTTGGCTTGAGAAATGACTTGAATTTCTCTCTAGATCTTTTTAAAGAGCTTAAAAAAACTAATAATTTATAAAAGTGTTTTTGTACAATTATTGGTTACGGAGAAAATTCAAAATATGGTAAATTTAAATTCCCATGTTATTCTTATGGAGATTATTGCAAAGTGTTGTAGTTTGCTTTTTTATGGATAAGCTCTATATTTTATCATACTTAGCAATTTTATTTATTTTATACTAAGCTATTAATATTTTACTAAAAAACACACTTTATTAGTTTCCTTGTAGCATCAAACATAGGTACTCGTTAAACTTAATGTTATTTAAATAGATTTAATTGAAAATCAATTCAGAACAATGGGAATTCGCTTAGTCGGCAGGTTTGCTGCGGCGGGAGTGCACTTTGTAAATAAAATTACGGATGCTCAAAACCCCAATTTTGTGCGTTTTTCCCCAGTTTCCCATGTATTTTCCTAATGTTTATCACATACATCATCTATGAAATAACGAGCAGCTGTTAATTTGGATTCGGATGTGTTTTTTTATGTAAAATGTTAATAGTTCGTAAGAAATAAAAACATTTTCCAAATTTGGGCAAAATATGTTAATAAACAAGCAAACTACAACAGTTTACTTATTCTCCATAAGAATAACATGGGAATTTTAAATTTACAATTTTATGGAATTTTCTCCGTAACCATTAGGTGCATTATAACGCTTCAATATGCTAAATTATTTTGTTTTTTTAAGCACTACAAAATAGTTTGGTTTTTATGTTTTTTGGGTCAAAAATGGGAAAAACCCATTTTACCCCATAAAACCTCCCATAAATGGAAAAAACAGCCCCCGTTCCCATGGTCCGATCATGCTGGTTCGAACTCAACTCGTTCAACTCGTTCAAATAAACGTAGGTTTACACGTTTGTACCAAATTTCAACAAAATCGGATCATTTTTGCTCGAGTTATTGCGCTAACGGACACATATATATATATATATATTTTTTTTTTATTGTTCACGTGTAGGGCTACTGTAATTAATATTAATAAATAATACACCATTGTACCCTTTTTTTTATTATTTTTAATAACTGATGCATTTCAACACTAAGGCCATGGTCACAGTCTTTAACAATCAATATATATATATATATATGAATTTGAACGGATGGTGTTTTTGGCCTCTAGGGACCTCAAAACAAAACAAAAAATCGGTTCTGGGTCTAGGTCTTACCATGAGTACTACGGTAATAGCTTATTCCCTATATGGGAAATTCGCTAAAAGTGTTTCCTTACATAACGGATTTAATTAATCGTAAGTGCAATAATGTGTAACCGTAAATGAAATTAAATAACTAGGCATCATCCAGGTCAGGAACCGAAGATTCTTTGTGTATCAAATTGTTCTTGAGTTTTGATAACCGGGAAAAAGACCTTGAAGTGTTGTTTAGGGCTGGGGAAACTTACTTTTTTTTATCATAGTCGCCAATAATATACAAACAGGGTTTCCACTCATTGACGGCGATTACTAATTTTATATGTACTTTGCTATGGTTAAACCGTAGCAAATTCCTTACTTAATTTAATCCTGTATTTTTGTGTGTATGTCTGTTGGTGACGCATTAATGTATTTCTCAGTGTTTCACGAAAAAGACAAGAGCACCTTTGGTAGTGAAAATGTCAACCAGAATAAAGTCTTTGATGGTGAGGTTGAGGTAGTATTTTAACCAGTGACTTCAACTGACTACACTATCCAGTGCGTAGAACAGGCACACAGCTAATGAAATGTAAAAATGAACAAAATAAATAAATATGAACAGTTTAACAAATAGTTTAATTTTGAGAACATATGATTGAATACAGATAAAATGAAATCAGCCCAAAATAAAATTAAAATTTAGCTGAGTTGAATCAATTCAACTTGAATGTTTAGTTTCCGGCCATAGAAGTAAACAATTCATGTCAGTTTAGTTGACGGGTACTTCTATGGGTGAATTGTTGCATATTACCTATGTAAAACTATGTTACATAACCTCAAAAATACCAAGAACATTTTATAAATAGTTTTTCATCACTCTAATATGTTGAAATGCACTGTATAATTAAATATTTCAGTTCATTTTTAATGCGGTAGGTTCCCCATTATTGATTTTGAAACAACGTGGTTTATTTGACAAAAATAAATTAAAGCAAAAAAAAGAAATAGCCATCGTTAGCTTCAAGGTCAAGCTATTTACTTGCACTGACAATCATCTGCTCTTTACACAACTGGACAACTGTCTGCTGTGCGCTTGCTATCTCACAACGGTTTGTAATTGGGCGATTAGTAACCATGGCAACTTGTTGAATGTGTGGATGAAGAGAAACCAAAGAATGAAGGAGAACAAAAAAGAAAGAATAAGCGGTGTTTTACGTCATCCATTGTTATCTTTATCCTATTTTACGACTGTCGTTATTATCTTTAAGATTAAGTACTACAATTTTATGTTTTTTTACGAGTTATCTAATGTTTTTATCGACATTCTTATGTTCTGAAACAACATGTAGTAGTAGCCTATGCTGACTAGACTACGGTAGCAGTAGCTTGCAGTAGGACTTTCTATTGTTCTGTTCTTTGCGTGATTTATTGCTGTAGGCCTACGTACAGTACGTGCATGTGTTGTGTAATTTTTGTTTTGCTTGAGTAAGATTGATTTTAAACGTTACAGTTTTTATTACTGAACCACAGTTAATGACTTAACATATCACGATTGCGCAATACTATTATTTGTATTTTGATTATGTAAAATTCAAAATAATTATCACATTAACGTCCATTTTATACAGTATTAGGTTTTTTTATGGGTATGTAATATATGTTTATGTCATATTGGATTAACCGTGGTTTTCAGTTATCCGTGCCCCCCCCCCCCTAATACCCCGGATAATTGAGGTTCTACTACATCCGGTTAGTCCGGCCGTTTTGTAGTCCGGCCAGTGGTCCGGTCCCGAGGTGGCCGAACTAGAGGGAGTCTACTGTACCTATAAAGATTATTGTAATACAATTAACCTAAATACTAATTCAACTGTATACAGCTGTCCAAATTAAATTAACTATAAAAAAAATAGTGCATAAAAATTTAAAAATCTACTCTTTAAATAAGAATGAAACATTGAGTTGGCTCCAGTACACTCAAACGTCACTAACACAAAACACTCATTAACTCTTGCTCTATTTTCTCCTGTATCGAGTAATCTTCAGTGTAATTTTGGGTCAATAGTTAAAATTGATGTTTTTATTTTGGTACTGTAATTGTAATATGGTATTATACTGCTGAGTGTAAGGATTGTTATAAGCACATGTAACAAGTCTTTTGTTTACTTTTTCCTTGTTATTTGTTCAACTAGTCCAGGAGCTGAGGGTGTTTGAGCATGCATGAAAGTAGTACGCAATGTTATTGCTGATTATTGTAATATGGACTGTGGTGATCAAAATTACGTATGTCGCCTATTTCAAAAGTGGTCGATAAGGTGGGGGGGAGGGGGCAAACATGGCGGTTTGCGCTATGCGTTAAAACGCTGATATTTCGAAAACGGTAAAAGATAGAACATCGGTTAAAACGTCGTTGTAATTCTAAAAATGTGGACTACAATAATGGTTATTGAGTCCGAGGTCGTATCTCTATAAATAAACAAGTTATTGTATAAAATATGTAAAAATTGACTTTTTGTGTTGTTTTTTTACCGAAAGTAGAATTAATTTGTGAGTGTCGCAAAGAAGTAATATCAAATATCTTTGCTGATAGTTGTAATATGGACTGTGGTGATAAAAAATACGCATGTCGCCTACTTTTCAGGTGGTCGAGAACTTGGGGGAGGGGGGCAAAGATGGCGGAACGTGCTATGACTTGAAACGACTGTAGCTCGATAACGGTACGAGATGGGACATCGGTTAAAACGTAGTTTTAATCCAAACCATATGGCCAATAGAAAAGGCTATTGGGTAAAAAGTTGTACCTCTTAACTAATAAAAAAGTTATAACAATAATAAGTTTAACAAAATCTACATTTTACAGATATTTTCAACAAAAATCACATGGATTGTTGTTAAAAAATAGTGTAATTACTTAATTACTAGGCTAAATATTAACTAGGTGCAATTTCTTATAAGAAAAACATATATTATTACGAATACATATGGTTTAAAATGTAAAACACGGCCTACAAACGCCTTGGGGTTCGTCTGATAGGTTGCGTCATAATTGCTGCGCAGTGCTGCTGATATCGGCACAACTGTTAATCCCCCCAAAGTTCATTGCCTTCCAACTCAGTGATATTGGGGTTGTGAAAGTGTTTGTACAGTTTAAGACTACTGACATTTATTGTGTTTTATTTATACAAATAGCATTCTTTTATAACTTTTAATAGTTATTTAAATATTTTAAATTTCAATACATTTTATTTTAAGTTGCTTAAGTTTTTTTTAAATTGTGTGTGGCTGGTTTTTATGAACGTTTGTTCTTAGTGACTAGTGGATTAGGCAATTTTAAAGTAAAATTTCACAAACTTACAAAAGTTAGGTACCTATTTCAAATCAAGAAATAATATGAACAACCAGTGTAATTGTTATGGATAGAATGAAGAGATTTACCGTATTTGTTATTATAAGGTATTTACATTTGTAGTTATGTTTTTTATTTCATATAACTGCATTTCATAAGAATCTGTTACATAATCATATTGTAATAACCTATAACATTATAATTAAAATTGGATTTGTAGTGGTAATCTGTATTATGCATTTGATTGCGGAGAAACCCCAAGTATTATACGTAGCTTGGAGGCCGTGTTTTACATTTTAAACCATATGTATTCGTAATAATATTTTTTTTTCTTATCAGAAAATGCATCTGGTTAATATTTAGCCGAGTAATTAAGTAATTACACTATTTTATATCAACAATCCATATGATTTTAGAAGAAAATATCTGTAAAATGTAGATTTTGTTAAACTTTTTATTTTTGTTATAACTTTTTTATTAGTTAAGATAGGCCTACAACTTTTTACCCAATAACCTTTTCTATTGGCCATATGTTTTGGATTAAAACTACGTTTTAACCGATGTCCCATCTCGTACCGTTATCGAACTACAGTCGTTTCAATGCATAGCGCGTTCCGCCATCTTTGCCCCCCTCCCCCCAAGTTCTCGACCACCTGAAAAGTAGGCGACATGCGTATTTTTTATCACCACAGTCCATATTACAACTATCAGCAAAGATATTTGATATTACTTCTTTGAGACACTCACAAATTAATTATACTTTCCGTAAAAAAAAACTACACGAAAAGTCAATTTTTACATATTTTATACAATAACTTGTTTATTTATAGAGATACGACCTCGGACTCAATAACCATTATTGTAGTCCACATTTTTAGAATTACAACGACGTTTTAACTGATGTTCTATCTTTTACCGTTTTTGAAATATCAGCGTTTTAACGCATAGCGCAAACCGCCATGTTTGCCCCCTCCCCCCCACCTTATCGACCACTTTTGAAATAGGCGACATACGTAGTTTTGATCACCACAGTCCATATTACAATAATCAGCAATAACATTGCGTACTACTTTCATGCATGCTCAAACCCCCTCAGCTCCTGGACTAAACCAACATGGTTACTTGGCAACCCATAAGGCCAATGTTGAATTTTTAAATTTTCAAATGAGTTGTGCAGCAAAATACAAATTTTCCTGAGGTAGTGCCTGTCGTCATTTTTGTTTTTAGGGCTATATATGTCCTTAATTCCAAAATTTAGTCAAAATCCTTCAGCTGGATTTTGAGATTTATATTAAAGACAGACAGACAAACACACATAGTGTATAGGATTTGAATTTGAAGGGATGGTGATTTTGGCCTCTGGGGACATCAAAACGAAAAAAGTAAATCGGGTCTTACCATAAGACCTACGGTCGCGGTAATAGCTTATTCCCTAAATAGGAAATTCACTGACAATATTGGACTGATATAACATGAAGAAAGTTAGAAAATTGCATGAGACAATGTGAAATATAGGCATTTCTCAATACAGGCCATAGACACAAATTGACTACTAAACCAATTACAAAATATTAAGAATTAGTTATGTCAGATTTTATCAAACATACATTGCACATTACATGTTAATGTTGTAAAAAATTTAACAATTAACAATGTTAATGTTTACTTAAAAGATTTTTTGCAGAAATTTAAGAGTTTTTGGGGATTAATCAATTTGAATGCAGAATCTGAATCATTTCAATCATATCATTTAAAAAATGAAATTTAATTAGAAACACAACCACATTAAAACTGGAACATGTCCCAATCACGCCTCACTACACAGTACCACAACCTTGATTATTCAACCTTGACCTAGAAGTTAGAAATCTTTAAATGAGAATTCATTTGTTTTTAAGTTTATTGTTATTTCTTCTTCGTTAATTTACTTGTTGCTTAAGCCAAAATTTTAAAATCTAGCAATATTTATTAGTCTATGTTTTTTATACTTACTGCCACGTGTAGGTGTTTTTTTCACATCACTCAGTTCAAAAACATAAGTTTCAGGATCATGACCTTCTTCTTTCAGAGCCTGAAAAATAGACCCACTTAATGATGATGGCTAAAGTACCTAGGCCTAATGTTTTCCTAAATCAGAATAGTATATTACGTTACTAGTCCTGAAAATAAGTGTTTACCGGACGAGTGTGGTCGTTCCCGTGCGAGACGAAGTAGAGTACGGGATTACCATACGAGTCCGGTACACACATTTTGGACGAGTGACGTACGATAGTTTACGCTATACTACTAAATCCGTTCAAATCTTTATATATTTCCACCAACTAAAGGACTAAAAATCACTAGTCATTGAGAGGTTATGTTTTTGTTTATAACCACTCATTGCCACCTAAATACTATATACAGTACAATCAGCTGATTGGTGTCCGGTAAAACTCATTACAGTACAGTAGTACGCAATGAAACCCCATTTGAATAAGCTGGCGGCAAAGAGCTGTTTTCTGGACTAAATACTTGCGTGGGAAGTTCGCCAAAATAATGTAGTGTGGCGTAAACTATGTTTATAAGGTAGCCTCAAGCTTATAACAATGTTTAAATGTCATGTTGAGAATTTAGTTAAAACCTATAAGAGATTCATTCATTACTGCCGGTTTTGCTACACCGGAACATGGTGAGTAATAGGTTAATGGAGGAGATAAATGGAAACACTATTCAAAGGTTTAGAGTGATCCTCTCTTTAAAAAAAATAACAAACTAATAAGTGAATTTCCAATAGGGAATGAGTTTTTACTGAAGGCTCATGGTAAAATCCAATTTTAGTATATGTACTGTTGAAGCAAGTATTCCTGGACCAAAAACAATCTAAAATATTACATTCAAATTTCCAAAACTGAGAATCAGACATACGGCAGCCGTTTTGTATTATTAACAAAACTATGTTTTATTTCATGATAGCTTTTTGTAGTGAATTAAATTTGATGTTTAGTTTAATAACCTAAAGAATTATTTTGAACATTTTTCATCATTCATGTTTAGTGCCAAAACGAGGTCCATTTAAAAATCTATATATCAATTACGTAAGCCGATTCTTTGTGTCAAAATTGTAGGCGACTGGGAAGTCGTAGAACGACGGGAGAGGGCTCAAATTAAAGGTCTCGATCCCGTGACAGCGGGAAAAATAGTGAAATTCCTAAAACTTTAACACAAAATTCGATACAACGTAAAATGTTCTCCATAAGAATAGCATTAGAAGCCTGCTGATTTTTGTTTACTTCAATACAGCTGATCACGATTTATCACTAAGCCGGTATGCAATACAGTATTAACATTTGGATGACTTAATTGTCAGTCAATTCTTCAATGTACTATATAAAACAACGTTACCATACGTTATAATTAAGACTTTTTAGTTATGTTATAGAATGTAGTTGAAATAAATTATTTTACTGTGAAACTTTTCAAATTTGTGTATTTTTAACGTTTAACATGAAATAACCACATTGACTAAAGAATTAACTATTCAAGATTAAATGGAAAATTTCCGCTTTGTTTTTATTTCAAAACATGTGTTCAAGATTTATTCTACACTTTCTTTGCAAATCTTATATATTAATACCCCCGCCGCAGCAAACCTGCCGACTAAGCGAATTTCCATTTGTCTGAATTGATTTTCAGTTAAATATATTTTAATAACATTAGGTTTAACGAGTACCTAGGTTTGCTGCTACAAGGAAACTAATAAAGTGTGTTTTTGAGTAAAATATTGATAGCTTAGTACAAAATAAATAAATTTGCCAAGTTTGATCAAAATATATCCATAAACAAGCAAACTACAACATTTGACAATATTCTCCATAAGAATAACATGGGAATTTTAAATTTACAATTTTTTTAATTTTCTCCGTTACTAATAATTGAACAAAAATACTTTTATATACTAAATTATTTGTTTTTTTAAGCTCTTTAAAAAGGTCTAAAGAGAAATCGGGAAATTTTGTGTTTTGAGGGTCAAAAGTGAGAAAAACCAATTTTTACCCCATAAAACCCCCCATAAAGCCCCGTTCCCATGGTCCGATCGTGCTGGTTCGCGAATTCATTCAAGTTTATCCCGCTTTACACCTTTAAACCAAATTTCATCAAAATCGGACAAAAATTACTCAAGTTATCGCGTTCACGGACGTATATATATACAAGTCTCTATATATATATATATATATATATATATATACATATATAAAAATTTGAACGAATGGTGTTTTTGGCCTCTGGGGACATCAAAATGAAAAAGTAAATCGGTCCCGGGTCTAGGTCTCACCGTGCCACCTACGGTAATAGCTACTTCCCTATAGGGAAATTCGCTAAAACGTGACAGGGTTTTTTTATTTCACAATTCTGAATCAACCACTTGACGGATTTTAATGTTTTGTGTGTTGAAAGAAAGACAATTTTGAGAACTAGGGAATGTCAAAGCCATAATTTTAGTTTAGGGTTTCAGTTTTTTAGAAATTAAGTTTTAATTTTCAAAAAGTCTAGCAGCCGACGCTTACATTCTTCTCTAGCTTTTGGTATAATTATACCATTTGCTTAACGTAACAGTTGTAAACATTCAGCGTTTTCGATACAAATTCAGCTTTTGGATGAAAACAAAAATGACATACATAGAATTGACTTATTTATACTAATGTGTAATGCTATAATCATTGATACGTACATTTAAGGTAAGAGGATGAGAGTTTATTGAGCGGAGCGAGCGAAGCTCTTATACGTCGACATTTATGCATTTCGTAATACGCAAACTCCTCCTAGACGGCTGAATCAATCGTTTTCAAATTTTGCATGGTGATAAAGACCATATCGGTGAGTGCCAACATCTATATGGCGTTAAAAAAGTCTCTCAGGAATGCGCACCGCTGGGTCTCAAAGTTTCAATGCAATCCTTATGGAAGCAGTATTTGACACATAAACAAAGACATACGATCAGCTGTTGACTTTTGAATGCAGTAGATAAATAAACAGCTGATAGCATTATTCCACAGATATTAGAACATAAACGGTGGTATGGATCATAAATATAATCAAATGACGACACTAGCTTGAGGTCCGTGACGTAGGAAGTGGTGAAGGAAGTAGTAAAGGTGAAGAGTCTGGAGTGTGGAAACTGTGACGATTAGATTTAGGTAGGTATCTGCATTCCTAAAATTCTATGGGAAGGGAGGAAAACGGGTCCGTGACGTAGGAAGTGGTAAAGGAAGTAGTCAAGGCGAGCTGCCTGGAGTGTGGGAACTGTTTATGACGATTAGATTAAGGTATCTGCATTCCTAAAATTCTATGGGACGGGAGGAAGACGGGTCAGTGACGTAGGAAGTGGTGAAGGAAGTAGTCAAGGTGAGCTGTCTGGAGTGTGGAAACTGTTTATGATGATTAGATTTAGGTATCCGCATTCCTAAAATTCTATGGGAAGGGAGGAAAACGGGTCCGCGATGTAGGAAGTGGTGACGGAAGTGTTCAAGGCGAGCTGTCCGGAGTGTGTTAACTGTTTATGACGATTAGATTAAGGTAACTGCAATCCTAAAATGCTATGGGAAGGGAGGAAAACAGGTCCGCGACGTAGGAAGTGGTGAAAAAATAGTCAAGGCGAGCTGTCCGGAGTGTGGAAACGGTTCATGACTATTAGATTAAGGTACCTTCAATCCTAAAATGCTATGGGACGGGAGGAAAACAGGTCCGCGACGTAGGAAGTGGTGAAGGAAGTAGTCAAGGCGAGCTGTCCGGATTTTGGGAACTGTTTATGACGATTAGATTAAGGTATCTGCGTTCCTAAAATTGTATGGGAAGTGAGGAAAACGGGTCCGCGACGTAGGAAGTGGTGAAGGAAATCGGCAAGGCGAGCTGTCCGGAGTGTGGAAACTGATTATGACTATTAGATTAAGGTATCTACAATCCTAAAATGCTATGGGACGGGAGGAAAACAGGTCCGCGATGTCCGAAGTGGTGAAGGAAGTAGTCAAGGCGAGTTGTCCGGATTGTGGGATCTGTTTATGACCAATAGATAAAGGTATTTGCATTCCAATAACGCTAAGGGAAGGGAGGCAAACATGTCTGTGACGTAGGAAGTGATGAAGGAAGCAGTAAAGGCGAGTTTTTCGGAGTGTGGGAACTGTTTGTGACGATTAGATTAAGGTATCTTGGTGTCTACAATCTTAAAATTCTATGGGAAGAGAGGGAAACAGGTCTGCGACGTAAGAAGAGGTGAAGGAAGTAGTAAGGTGAGCAGTGTGGAGTTTGGGAACTGGAAACCGTTTGTAGCAGTTAGATCAATTTATCTGCAATGCTTAAATGCTATGAGAAGGGATGGAAGCATGTCCACGACATATAAAATGGTGAAAGAAGTAGTAAAGGCTAGCAGTGTGGAGTCTGGGCATTGTTTGTGGCAATTAGATGAACGTATCTAAAATACTAAAATGCTATGGAAAGTGATGAAACGATGTGTGTGTCGTGTGTGTTGTCCACGATGTAGGAAATGGCTTAGGAAGTAGTAAAGTATGAACATATTGTGAGAACCGTCTGTGGCAGTTAGATTATTGTATCCTCAATCCTAAAATGCTATGAGAAGGGAAGGAAACGCCCCACGACGTAGGAAGTGGTGAAGGAAGTAGTAAAGGCTGGCAGTGCAGAGTGAGGGAACCGTTTGGGCAGTTAGATAAATGTATCTAATACTTAAATGCTATGAGAAGGGAAGGAAACAGGTCTATGGCGTAGGAAATGGTGAAGGAAGTAGTAAGGCTTGCAGTGAAGAGTGTGGGAACTGTCTTTGGCAATTAAATTAATGTATCTGCAATCCTAAAATTCTATGGGAAGAGAGGGAAAGAGCTCCACGACGTAGGGGGTGGTGAAGGAAGTAGTAAAGGCGGGCAGTGTTGAGTGTGGGAATGGATTAATGTATCTGCAATGCTAAAATGCTATGGGAAGAGACTGTAGACTGTAGGTTAAAATGATTATGAATCACGAATCGTTACATATTTCGTTACGTATTCAATCGTTTACAATAGAAATTTACAACTGAGTTGACAACAG